CAGTCTGTCTTGTGGCTTGCAGTCTTCAGCTGTGTTTGTTTACTTTGTGTTCAGCTGCTGTTATTTGGTGGCACAAGGTGTTAAAATAATGAGAAAAAATAACACATGAACAGATATGATTTTTGTGTTGAAATTATTCCTGTTTGTCAATTATGTGTGAGCTAATAAACCAGACTTTTAGCAGATCATATTATATTTAAATGTTAATATACTTTGTTTTTATTATATTAGAGAAATGATTGAAAAGGAGACAAATGAAATGCTGATATTTAATTTCTGTGAGTCAAGTCTTAAAACACATAAATTTGTTTATTCAAATTTTACACAATGGGTTTTCAGGAAAGTGATGAATAAAAAACATGCAATGACAGTATTATTATTTCTTTTGTTATGAGGTTTTTAAAAAATATATATAGTAGCTAATTATGCTGTTTTAGACAAAATTTTTGATAGTGGTTTCTTTCTACCATTAAGACACAATTTTGGGATTAAATCAAACATAGCACTGACAGAATACTCTTTATTTTAAGAATATCAAGAAAGAATCATATCTGTTTAGATATTTTAAATATATTTTAATAAGCCACAAAACAGATTGAGAAAGTTATTTATCAAATGTATGTTGTGAATGGAAAAATAGGCTCCATAATGCAATTGAATACAATTGAATTCAATATTGTAAGGATCACAGATAATATTAAAATATTAAATCCTTTTATTTTCCAAATCGGTTCCCTTTCCCCAAGAGATAATTCTATTTTAATAAGAGTTTTAAAATATATATATTTTAATATATATAGTTATATGTTAATATATATGTTAATTATATATTAAAATATATATATTAATATATGATTATATAATAAATATATTTTGATGGTTGATAAAGTTTTGTGTTTTTCTCTTAGCTTAGTTACAGTCAGAAGCCTGTTTTTCTTTCTTAAGAGCTATAAAAAAAAGCCTCATAGCTTTTCTTACTTGAAAATCATTTTTCAAATTTCAAAATTGTCACTTTTCAAAAAGTTGCTATATATTATGTGGTCTTGATATAAAATAACCCTTGTTTTTATGGCTTTAAAAAATGTATTGCAAGGCCTTCTGGGTTGACATTTTAAAATCACCATGTAAATCTGCCTGACAAGTTTGGTTTTTTTTTGGTAATGTGAGATCTGAATAAATGTTTCGTCTATTACTTTTTCAACACCTGGTTCTAGTTGCTTGCTGTTTTAGTTGATATGAACTGAGAAGCTTTCTCAAGTCGTTAGTCTCACTATAGCATTTTTGATAGTCAATTAGTTGATTTTGACTTGTTTTATGTAAGGTTTGATTAAGTTTAAAATTTTTTAAATGTCACTAGCCTATATTTTGAAGCATCTGTGTGACGTACTCTTTTACTAATTCCAATTAGCATGTTATGATTAAAATCTGCTCTCAAGATGTATCTAATGAAGTGTTACTGGCATGTGTGTGTAAGAAAAAGATATACAGAGGGAACAGAATAGAGCAGCAAGGGTGAATAATTGCTAAATTCACAGTGTAGTGTTTTGTTGGCGTTTCCTGTTATGAAATATACCCATTTGTTCCTTTGGATCACATGCCATATGTGGGAGGGTGACATTATGTAAATATGGTAACTGAGTCTGAGATTGAGCCAAGAAATGCTCACTGGATGAAAAGTTCAACTATGTTTTTGACTTGAAGATACTCTTTAAATTGAACTCTGGTTATTACAATAGAAATCTAAACCAACCTTCTGATGATTTCCATTTCTTGTGGTCTCTCTAAAAGACAGTTGTATTACGAATGGATTGTATGTATTTTGAGCCTGTTTTAATTCCTTCTCTTTGAGTTGAGGAGACAGGGTTGGAGAGAGAGGCAGTTTTGCAACATATAGAGTCTTTCACACTTTTAAGACGTTTTTTATTTTTCTTTAGCAGTATTTTCATAATCATGATTAAGTAATTATTTGTATAATTGCTTAATGAATATCTCTCTTGATAGACTAAGCTGTATGTGTCCAGGAACCACTCTGCCAGTCACCAGCAGTGCAATGTATAAACAATTAAAAGAAGCTCATGGCAATCTTAGATTTGAACCCGTTTTGTATGAAAATTTGTTTTCACTTACTTAATGTTGATAGGTGTTAGAAGATTTCATTGTGTAAAAATGTTAATCATTTGCACAAAAGGTCCCCATCTCCTAAGAGAGGAATGACATGTAATAGGCTGAATTAATTAGGAGAGCATCATGGGGTCATTTGTCTTCTTTATTTGTTGGCTATCAGGACAGAGATTTTTGTCTGCTTTGTTCATGGGTTTATTCCTAGCAGCAAGAACAGTGCCTGGCACAGAAATGTATGTTGAATCAATGAATTGATAAAAGTTAATGACACTCACGACTCAATAATAAGAAAATAAACAACCTAATAAAAACTGGGCAAAAGATTTGGACACTTCACCAAAAAATATATACAGTGGCAAATAAGCACATAAAAAGATGATCAACATTATTAGTCATTAGAAAAGTACAAATTAAAATGAGAATGAGATTGCTATACACCTATTAGACTGGCTAAAATAAAAATAACTGGCAATACTAGGTGCTGGTGAGGATGCGAGGCAACAGAACTCGCATATGTTGCTGATGGGACAGCCCACTTAGGAAATCAGTTTGTTAGTTGCTTATAAAGTTAAACATACATTTAGCATATGATCCAGCAAACCCAGTCCTAGAAATTTACCCAAGAAAAGTGAAACCATATGTCCATACACACATAAAAACCTGAACACAAATGTTTGTGAAGGCTTTGTTCATAATTTCTAAAAATTGGAAACAACCCAAATGATCATTAACTGGTGAATGGCTAAATAAATGGCTAAATAAACTATGGCACACTCATAAAACAGAATATTGCTTAGCAAGAAAAGGGAGCAAACTACTAATACAAGCAACGACATGGATGAATATCAAATACATTACGCCAAAGTGAAAAAAGCCAAGCTCAAAAGGCTCCATACTGTATGATTCCATTTATATAACATTCTGGAAAGCCAAAACTATGGGACAGAAATCTGATAAACATAGGTAAGTGTTCACAGTCCCTGGGGATGGGGAAAGAGCATTGCCTACAAAGAGGGGGAACTTTTTGGAATGATGGAAATGTTCTATATCTTGATTATGATAGTGCTTATCCACCTATATGCATCTGTCCGAATTGGTAGAACTGTACACCAGAAAAGGGTGAATTTTACTGTATGTAAATTATACCTTTTTTTTTTTTTAAAGATTTTATTTATTTTATTTTTTCCCCCCAAAGCCCCAGTAGATAGTTGTATGTCATAGCTGCACATCCTTCTAGTTGCTGTATGTGGGACTCGGCCTCAGGATGGACGGAGAAGTGGTGCCTCGATGCACACCCGGGATCCGAACCTGGGCCACCAGCATTGCAGCGTGCGCACTTAACCACCAAGCCACAGGGCCGGCCCTGTAAATTATACCTTAATAAACCTGACTCAATACCAAAGAAAGAAAGAGTTAGTGAGGCTCTTCTCTATTAATACTTAAGCAAGCAAATCTTTAGCTTGCTGCTTTGAGAATCAGGAATGAACTCATGCTTTACCAAGGGACCAGAGAAACTAGTGAGACTCACCTCCCTAATTATCATTCCCATTATTCTTATTCTTTTTAGATGCTCACCCTGATAAACTGGTTATAAGGAACTTCAAAATTCTTGATCTCTTCAAACAATGTAATGAAAAGGTAGAAAGAATATGTTGCAGGCTTATAAGTTTCTTGTGGCAAGGTCTTTATTTTGTGTATTATGATCTGTAGCAAAAACCATTTATTAAGTGATATCTACCAGTTAGCGCCGTGTAAGACACAACTCTCAGTGCCTCAGGTGGGGCCAATTGATGCAGCAGACACCTTGTTTGCCGCCCCATAGAGTTGCTATGAGAATCAGGAGAGGGCATGTTTGCACTGTGTAAACTGTGAAGTGCTAAATAAATACAGGTGGTTTCGTTGGCAAATATTAACAAACCTAAATATGACAAACAAACTTAGGTTTCAGGCATCAGAGAGCAACCTACAAACATGGTGTAGATAGGATGAACAGGAAAGATTTCCTTGGCTTGTATCTATGTTGGGCCCCATTGCTGCCTTCTTGCTCAATGGGGAGAATCTGTGGTGGTCAGGAGTTTTGTTTATAGCACTGATGAATGGCAGGAATGAAATTTGACACCGTGGAGAGTGGGAAGTGACTAAATTGAAGGGCTGCTTTGGAAAAAGCTGGACTTAGAGGCTCAGAAGGAGTGAATCTTCAACAGATGTTTTTTTGTTTGGGGTTTTTTTTTGGTACAATCTCTAGTCTTTTATGAGGCAGGGTCTCTTGTTCTAGATCTGAGTGACCATTGTAGTAAATGTGCTGTGTCACCCATACCAAATCCTTTCTTCTTCTATCTCATCTTCCAGTGTTTTTGCCACCCCAGTTCTCCATACATTTTTGTTTCATGTAACAGCCAGCTTTTATCCTCATGAATATTGTCGTGAACCCACTGATATCAGTGGTAAAATTTCAGCTATAGTCATGACAGATTTCTCCTCTTACTTTAAATACATACACACACACAATTAGAAATCTTGTCTTTTTGCCTCTTAGATTGCTAAATCATGTGTCTTGGAGAGGTTCCATGTTGAGCTCAACAAATATTTATTTGTGTGAATTTATTTGAGAACTTATTTATGGGGTATTGCAGAATTATAAAATGAATTCTCCTAGCAATATGCCCTTGGCCAGATCACTTAACACTGTTTCCTTACATGCAAAATTCAGGTAATAGTTTCAACTTTGCTGTTGTAAGAATCACAATAGCTTAGGAAAGCTTGCAGTCAGCTCTGAAGTTCTGTGCCAATATAAGGCAGTAGTATTTTTAATGGCTTTCTTGTCATTATTTTTACCACTCCCAGAAGAGGGTACACTGATAAATTATTTGTTTCTCCAGGGAGAGTCACTCCGGGGCAGCTCACATCCTATATTCAGCTCTTCAAGAACAACCTTAAAGCTCTAGTGAATCACTGTGGTCTCCTACAGCTTGGGCTGGCCACAGTTCAAACTCTGAAACACCCGCAGACTGCCAAGTGGGACAACTTTCTGGCTTTTGAAAGACTCCTTCTCCAGGTATGTTGCTATGGGAGGTTCTTGGGATATTAATAATTAAAATTCTCACTTTGGGAAAAACTGTGATATTTATTGTAGTCTTAGTAATAAATCATATTGTTGACATATGAGCTAGAGCATATTCTCTGTATGCCCACAAATTAAAATTCAAGTAGAAACTTTTTCCATACCTATTTTTTTTTTTGACAGTGACATCTTTGGCTTCTCACTCAATACTAAGAATGTTTTTTGAGCATTTGACAAACCTTTGAAAACTTCTTTTCAATTTTATGCCATTTGGATCTTTCTTGATCTTCATTGCATTTTTATTCAATCCTTGCTACTTTTCCTGTAGAATACTACTGCTATTTACATTTCTTCTGATACTAACTAGTCTCTAATCCTTAAACAACATAGAGCATGTGACCTAAAATGATGCTCAGTAAAAGAGCATTTGTAGTTTTTTTTTTTTTTTTTTGTGAGGAAGATCAGCGCTGAGCTAACATCCATGCTAATCCTCCTCTTTTTGCTGAGGAAGACCAGCTCTGAGCTAACATCTATTGCCAATCCTCCTCCTTTTTTTTTTTTTTCCCCCAAAGCCTCAGTAGATAGTTGTATGTCATAGTTGCACATCCTTCTAGTTGCTGTATGTGGGATGCGGCCTCAGCATGGCCGGAGAAGTGGTGCGTTGGTGCACGCCTGGGATCCGAACCCGGGCCACCAGTAGCGGAGTGCACGCACTTAACTGCTAAGCCACGGGGCCGGCCCGCCATTTGTAGTTTTTATGAAGAAATTGTATGTGGGGTAGGACCTTTTCATGGTTCCCCAATTTTCCTTTTTCCTTTCCCAGGGGTAATCACAAGCTCAATTCCTTATTTCTATATTTTTATTAAATATTTATTTTCCAAAGATAATCCAGAGTACTGTGCTATGAGTCTTGCTTTTTATTTAAGTGATATAACATCATAAATATCCCTAAACAACCTGCTTTTTCCTCTCAACATTCTATTTTTAAGATATATTGACGTGTATAGATCTGGTTCATCATTTAAACAATACCATACTATTTGATTGTATGAATATACAATTTATTTATCCAATCTGTATTGATGTATAGTTAGGCTGTTCCATATTTGTGTGTGTATGAGTGTGTGTGTGTGTGTGTGTGTGTGATTAGAAAGAATGTGATGAATATCCTGGAACATGTCCTCTGGTACACATGTGAAAGAGTTTCTCTAGGATATACACCTTGGAGAGGATTGTTAGATTGTTGACCATGCATATTGTTGAGTTTACTAAATATCACCAAATTGATCACCAAAGAAGTCGAACTAGTTGACTCTTCTAGGAATGGATGATGGTGTTTCCCAGCATAATGTCTAGCACTCAGTATTATCAAACAAACCTTTTTTATAGTGAGTCATTGCTATCTCTTTATATAAATTTGCAATTCTCTGACCACTGATGAGGCTGAGCGTCTTTTATAGTATTTATTGGCTATTCAATTTTCCTCTTCTGTCAATTGCTCATTCTTCTACTTTGCCCATTTATATCTATTGGGTAACAGAAAAAACTGTCTTACATCATTCAAATACTTCTCCCAGCCTGTTGTTTGTCTTTTAACTTTAATTCCTATATATTTTATTGTGCAAAAGTTCTAAATTTTAGTGTAGTCTAGTTAATTAATATTATCCTTTATGATTTGTGCTTATTTATGTTTTATATTGGAAATCCGTTTCTACCCCTAATTTCTAAATATATTGTTCTATATTTTCCATGAAAAATTAACTTTTACTTTTGACATTTGAATTTTTTTTTTTGTTTCCCAAACCTTACACATTTTATTTTATTTTATTTTATTTTATTTTATTTT